ATGGTTTAATTATTTTTACTACATTAATCATTTCAATACTTTTAAAATGAAATATTTGGCATAGATGTTACTCTTCAAGAATAAGAATCTTGAAATAATGGTAAAGTTGTATTCGTGTGGCCTATAGGTTAAGAATTTGAACAGTGAAAGTAACCAATAGTACTTGTATTAAGATGGATTGTCTACATCACATCTCTTAGATTGCGACTCTTTCCCTAACGTCCTTGACCCTACTTAACACAAGATGTATTGTTCACTGATCTTTTATAGCTCCTATCGATAAAGCATATAATATTTATTTTATTTTATGTGTAACTTAATTAGACCTCCATACCTTCCATGTGCTATTACAAGTTTACAACAATGTTGTGTTCATACTTATTCTCTCATTTGAAAGTGGCAGACAAAAAGAGTACATAAAGAAAAGAAATTCAGAATTTCTGGGACTAGGGTTTTGTGTTGTTTGATTAGTTTTCTACTTTTATGATTTTTTTATTTTTATTTTTTTTGTTTTGAAAGTAAAAAACAGCATGTGATATTAATTATTTTAATGGTAAAACTACATAATGGAGTTAGTAATAATATATGGTTTTATTAACCTAAAATATATAAAACCTGATATGGAGTGACATTGAAGTCCACTTTAATTTGTCTATAATAAGACAAGAACAGTCAATATTTACATTTAATAAATCAAGAATTATCAATTTGGATATATAAAATGTGATACTAAAAACCTATAGCATTTGAAGTTGAGTTGAAAAAAATATAGTATTTGAAGTTAAGTTTATATATATATATATATATATAGAGAGAGAGACATGACTAAATCAAAATTAGTCTAAATCACTAATGTTTTAAATTTTGATAAAACAAAACTACTTAGTAGATTTAAAAATTAAAACTATATTTTGATATGCAAAGTTTCCAAACTAATTTTCAAAAAATCAATTCAATGTATAGCCAAACCAAATTTTGGAGAAAAAAAGAATGTCATGGACACATGGCTTATAAGTATATTTTGAAATTTTATTAGCGAAATTTAAAACTACATGATAATAAAAAATAGCCGCTATTTCTTACTAACTTAAAACATACCTATTTTGAGGGGACAATCGAAAAAACGAAATAGAGAAATTTTCATATAAAGCTATAGCTTCACCTCTAATTATGAAATAAAGTGATAGTTTGTGTTTTTACAAAACAACAATAGTCTATCTGCACAATTCGAAGTTGCTCGGTGTACTAGCTCTATAATAGAGTTAGACAACCCAATCACACTCACTTAGTATAAAGCGAAGCAGGACCGTTGGCAGGGGCGGAGGCAACATATAATGTGGGGGTTCATTCGAACCCCCTCGACGAAAAATATTACTATTTATACATGGTTAAAATTATTTTTTAGGTATGTTTAATAGATGTTGAACCCCCTTCCACTAGTTCGTATGTTTACTTCTCAGATTTTGAACCCCTTATTAAAATTTCTGACTCCGCCACTGACCGTTGACCTGAGCAATATACAGGGTATATATATTTAATAATATTGCAATACAATGTATCCGTGAGCATAATAAGTGTATTTATTTATATACAATATCTCTATAGAGGAATACATTGCATCCACGCAAGTAAAGTAATATAATAACAAAAATCATTATATCGTACGATTAAAAAATATTTTCATATGTATACAATATTTCTGCCTTATTACATTTGCATGGATAATAAATGTCGTCACTTGTATATAATATACAAACAAATCAACCTATTGCTATATTATATAATTTTTTAAAACAATCATTATTTCGAATAAATATAAGGTCTCTTTTTAATGTGTAACGTAAACTTCCCCCAAAAAAATGTGGACTAAGATCTATATGCATCGAATCATGCTTAGAGTAACTATTGAAACTTTAAAAAGTACTAATTTACTATAATTAAATAATAAATTTTATGTCAAGATACAAATAGAAGAAGACAAGTATAGAATAGAAGTTTGCCCTAGTTCCTAAACTTAGCTCACCGAACCTTATTATGAGTGAATTTCATCGTTACGTGGAATATTTTTGAAATAAAAATAAATCAACATTTTTTTAATTTAACATTGTTGTGATTTTAATTTCTTTGATTGAACGAGTGTGAGAGGGTGTTGCTGGAATAGATTGAAAGTATATGGATGATTTTATAAATAAAATTTGAGGAAGATTAGAGGTGATTTGGATTAGTTTAGAGAAAATAATCAATGCACTTGTGACATGTACATATCTAATGTGTATATCATGTATATCAGTATGCATCACAAACATATATGATAGACGTCACTTCAATATATGTATATGACTTTATATGTTTCGTATATCAGTGTATATCACAAGTAGATTTTCATTGACATACACAAATGACAAGAGATAAAAGGATATGTAGTGGAATATACATAGTGGTAGACACCAAATATAATAAGGGATACACATATGGAATTGTTAGTTGTTAATTGGGGAAATTTCGCAAATAGCCACTACAATAAACTTAAATAGACTCCTCAGCTATAATTTGCATATTTACAGATTGTAGCTATAGCTTACTCATTTGTATAATTCGCACCTTGTTTGAATAATTTGCGGGTACGTTTGTATAATTCATGTGTATTTATATAATTGAGTTATTTTTATCCGTATTTATATAAGTATAAATATACAAATAGAATAACTACATACAAGATAGATTTGTACAAATATGGGTACAACTATAGATCTAAAATTGGATCTATTTTCAGAGTACTACAAATTTTGAAATTACACAAATATGATAAAACTTGAAAAAATGAATTTATACAAACACAAACATCTGAACTTTAATCAGTATACAAATTATATTAGAAGAATTACATTATACAAATTCCGAATACAAATTCTGAAACTACACGTTTATACAAACTTTAAAAAGTTATACAAAAAAGATTGAATGTATCTGATGATAAAAGTGAAAACTCAAAGGAAATCACCATCATATACAAATTCAAATCAAACGAAAAATTGTTAGAGGCGAATTATACAAACGTGACGAATTATACGAATTGAAGTCGACGTAATTAACGCTAAATGTTAGTGGTGAATTGTAAATTAGCTAAAATTATAACGATGTTAACTAATTAACTAGTATATGTTCACTTATTGGCGTAATTTTCCCATTGTTATATTATCATATGAATGTTGAGTTTTCTCAACACAAACAAAAATTCTCCAAATTATCAAACCTCACTACAACAGTACCAGCCTAACTCTTGATTGGATAAAATCAATAAATAAAAAATTTCCACAAAAGGCCTAATTTGAATTGCAAGAATATAATCTAATAAAGCTTGTTTGGAATCCATCAAATCATCCTAAACGACAAAGAGTTGAAAATTATTGTAAATTTCTATTATGTATTTCAAATAAACTAAGTTTAGTTGTGTGATACTTTTTTTATCTCATAATTAAAACTCAAATTTTGTGAATTCGTAAGTCATTTTGATCCACTTTTTTGAGAGATAAACATATGTATCTCTTAATACGTACGTCTATTGTGTGAGATATATATTAAAGAATTTGTTGACGAATTTTTAGTTACATTTATGAATTAAATATCTTAAATTTTTATGATAAATATAGTACAATAATGAGCAACATCAATTTATGCTATATAGATAAAACAATCAAATCAAATCGATCTTTTCGATTCAGAGCAAAAGTAGCTGCCTTCATGTGTTATTGCTTTCTCCTTTATATAATTGACAATCTCATAAAGTAAATATCTCTCCAAAAATTATATTCATATATTTAGAATAAAAAAGAAAGGAGGACAATTGTTGAGTATAAGTAGTTTGAATTGACTTATTTTAGATATTTTTAAGTTAAAATAGTTTTCAAAATTATTTTAAAGCGTTTGGTAAAATAAATAAAAAATTTAAAGCAGAAAAAAATATCATAAATTAAAAATCATAATTTATAAGTCATAAATTCTAAAATCTTCCGAACAGACTCTTAAATCTAGCTCTTTTCAAATTCTTTTCTTAAAGAGACATTTTTGCATTTATTTTACATTATAGAGGTTGGGGAGATAATATCTCAGAAGGTCACCCAACTTTGAATAGTTTACTTAGAAAGTCACTCAACTTTGAATAATTTACTTAGAAAGTCACTCAACTTTGTTTTATAATTCAAAAGTCACTCAACTATTGTCATTTCACTTAGAAAGTCACTCAACTATTGATATTTTACTTAGAAAGTCACCCATCTAATTTAAATAATTTTTTCATTAGATTTTGTTAAATACAATTTTTGTTTTAAACTGTTTTTTTTAACAGAAAGATGCTCTTTAATTATTTTATAAAATTTTGTTGAATATTTTAAAACTATTTTCTTAAAAAATAATAAAAGATTGCTATATGCTACTGTGCGTTTTTTTTAATTACTTCCGTTCAATTCCAATCTTCTTCTTTTTTTGGATCATTTTTCAGCATATTTAAGTCTATGCTGATGTACGTTTTTAAAAAAAAAATAATTGTAAGTTAAATAATTGGAGTGAGTCAATAAGATAATTAAAATAAAAAAATTTATTATTTGTTAAAAATAGTTTAAAATAAAAATTAGATTTCAATAAAGCTTATTGAATAGATTATTCAAATTTGTTGGATGACTTTCTAAGTGATTTATCAATAGTTGAGTGACTTTCTAAGTGAAATACCAATATTTGAGTGACTTTGCATTATAAAATAAAGTTGAGTGACTTTCCAAGTGAATAACTCAAAGTTGAGTAACTTTCTAAGTGAACTATTCCAAATTGAGTGACCATATGAGATATTAACTCAGAGGTTGGGCTTAGCCACGAGTTACAAAGCTTTAATAAGATATCGAGAGTACTATCAAAGTCATGTGAAACTACTCATATTCCTATCTAAGGAGTTGCAAAAAGGTAAAATAAAAATAAAAATAAAAATATAAAAAAGAACCAATAAAGGATAATTTAACAAGTTGCTAATAATTCATCTTGGAATTGTTTTGGATTTATTAGGGTATTTCAATTGAAGCTTTAATTGATAATAATTAGCTTCTAAATTATCAGAATTAATATTTTCCATTTTTGTTTGTGCAAAAATAGCTAGACCACGAGCAAAGGCAAAATAGCCAGTACCACCTACAACATTCAACATGTTATTATCATTTGTCAAACTCTTAGCCTCAACACTAAGACTCCCACTAAATTCTTTTGAATTAAATGTAAGATAAATAATATTAAACGCGGAATTTGCGAAATCTTGAATTGGGATGATGAAACCTTGCGCTTTTCCAACTATACGAGACGTGTTTTCAGGGCCTTCAGTAAGAAGGCGATGGAAAATTAAAGCGCCAAAGTCTGTTGGCGCTTTTTGAGAGGGGAAATTGGAAGAGGGGATTCGAGGTTGTTGAATATAGAGGGATAAATCAACCCAAGGGGGATTTTTTGATTTGTTTTGATTAGGTATTGGTGAGAATATTGCAAGGAGAATTACTGAAAGTATTGCTAATAAAATTGCAATGCAAAAAATGATTCTTGCTATCATGACTATAACTAGTGGTATATATTTGATTTGTTTGGTTTTCAAAAGAGAAATTAAGTTGATTGAGGAATAAGATTTTGAGGTATGATTGTCTTAAGGTGTGTTGCTTTTAATACTGTTCAATTTTAGGGGGTTTTGTTAAAATTTTAAAGGTTTTGGTTACTTAATCCACCTTTTTTGCTTTTTCTACCTAAACCATATATAGGTTGCAACTTGCATGAGCTTTTTGTGCATCAAGGAATTAATTTACCCCTAATAATTGATCATGTCTTGCTTGTTAAATAGGAACTTAGTTAAAAAAAATTCACTTACATAATTCTATCCTTTTTTTTCTCACATTGTTTTGGGTGCCTAATTAGTTGAGGGTTATTTAGGAAATAGACTTTCTACCTTCAAGAGATAAGAATAAAGTTTATATACATATTATTCTCCTCAGATCACATTTTATGAAATTTTACTGAATATGATCTTGTTGCATTCTAATGTGAATGTATAGTGAAGGTCTAGTTGTATAATTTCTCAAGGTACTACTAGAAATCAGTCCATTTTTTTGATGGATTAGTCCATCGAGAATTTGTTAGAAATCTATTGGAAGTCCGTTGAAAATATTTCTGGAGTGTTCTTTTCTAACGAATTTTTGAGGTAATGTAAGTCTAATTAAAAAAACATTGTTTTTTAGAAGTGGATTTAAATTTTATGATACTATGATTTGTATTGTATTCTTAATCACCAAAATATATATTCAATTGTTTATTGTTCAAATCTTGGATGAATGAAAACCTTAAAATAACAATAAAGTTATTTTTGTATGATCTATAGATCACAAAGTTAAATTATGATATCAGTCGTATCAATTACATCATCCTCTTAAAGTCTAACCTTGCTTCGAATCCTGTGTAAACGCCAAATATTTTGTTTATCAAACCTATGGTAAAGTATCATTTATGCAAAAGATCTAAAGAAACCCCAACTAATTAGTCACAACCAATTAATCAATAACAAACTTTTAGAAGAGGAAACATGGTTGCATCATTACTCAACCAAGTTGGTGTAGTGGGTAAATATATATATATATATAGATTATATAGCATGATCAAATAAAACGCATATTTACATTCCACATGCATGCAACTTACTAATGAAGAAAGAGCAACTTAAAAAACAACTCACCAACATTTTCTTCATGTTGAAAGCATTCATTTCGTCCATTATGTCACATGGATGCCTCTACACTTGTAATTAAGCAAGTCAAGGTGATGGCATGTTATTTCATTTTCTTCATGAGACCAAGTCACTTTTTGGTCCCTATACAAGTAGAAATTGTACAAAATAACAGAAAGAAAAAGACACTATGATTTTTTTTAATCGGTTCATTTTGGAGTTCAATTAATTCAAATACGTGTTAAAAGTCTCGCTTTGAGGGTAAATCATTCCCTACAAAAAGACAATTTTATATCCAGAAATCTAATACGAGATCTTTACTTAAAGAAAAAAAGGCATTTATTATTTCACCACAACCCGTTTTGTATTCAAATAGTCTATATAAACAATGGTTGATCACTTAGTACTCACATTGTCCAAGAAAGGCACAATGAGTACTACAAACTACCTAAAATTACTACTCATACTCCAAACTTTATTCTCATTATCTTACCTCACAACTAGCCAACAACCATCAACAACACCAATTACCACCTCCACATCAGTGTTAGACATTGATGGTCATGAGCTACAAATTGGCTTAAAATACACAATTTTACCAATTAATCAAAATGGAAGTAGTAGTAGTAGTGGAGGAGTTGGTGGCCTAGCACTAGAAGCTAAAAATATGCCATGTCCATTTTATGTCATACAAAAAAATGTTGAATCATCAAATGGACTTCCAACAAGGTTTATGCCTATTGACAATAACCAACAAGTCATAAATTTATCTACTGATTTAAACATTGTGTTTCTTGCTTCCACAATTTGTGTTCAATCCACGGCATGGAAGGTCGGTGGCGCGGACGAGAGAACGGGAAGGAGGTATGTTATGAGTGGTGGCATGACTGGCCGGCCGGGGATTGATACAATAAGCAATTGGTTTAAAATAGAAAGGTATGGGAATAATGAGAGTTATAAAATTGTGTTTTGTCCTAGAGTTTGCAGTAGTAATTGTAAGGTAGTGTGTGAGAATGTTGGTGTTTTTAATGAGAATGGGAAGAAGTGGCTTGGGTTGAATGATGAACCACTTGTTGTTAGGTTCAAAAAAGTGTTGAATTAGTAGCAAAGATCAATTGTACTTTTCATTTTTCTTCTTCTAATATACTCCATTTAAAATACCAGTCATGTTTTGTTTTTCAAGAGTTTATTTGATTAATCTTCAGATCCTTGTCATAGTCTATGAGGTTGGTGCATGATTCGTATGATATACACCTCCCCACCTCGTGTTTCAATAGTTGTCTCGCTTGTTGCTCTAGCCATTCTGTGGAGAAGAACTTATAGATTAATTTAATATTTTAAAATTAAAAGTTATATATTAAGAAATTAAATGAAAATTATTATAAGTTATAATTCTTCTAATATTATTATGGGGAAAAATTACTTCTTAGAATGATGGACATAATTTATGTAGTTTGAATTTCAAAAAAAGAAATATGACGAATAATTTGAAACAGGAGGAAGTATGATTTCTTTTTCCGAGTGTGAGCTCGGAAAGTTGTATACCGAAGTCATTCAATGGGTAAGTAACCAATTTCTAGACTATATAATGTTATCTTATATGCTGGATTACAAGTAGATAACTTACAAAGCTTTTAAATTTAATTTTATGTCATTTTTGTTTGAACTTCAGTCATACGAAACTTTAATAAATTTAGTTGTACTATTTATCAACAACCCATATGGAAATCTCAAATTTGGTTCCAGCAATTCGAATTAGACAAGGGGGCCCAAACTAGCACAGTTAGGTCTTCTTAGGTCCAATCCCATTTCTCCTATTACTTCTCATTTCTATATGAGATAAATTTCACAACTTTTGTTTATAAGGAAGCTGACAAACAAACACTCCTGCATGTTGTGAGAAGGTATTAGGAAAAATTTCCTCTAGGGGTTCATTTTCATTTGGATATCTTTGCATACACATCATATGCTTATTTAAATCTACATGTTATATCTTTCTTGTTATCAAAAGCATCCACACTTTTATTGGACTCCTTTCTCCATTGCATGGTTTCAAATTGCTCAAGGTGTTGGAAATGGCCAACCATTTCTTTCATATATTACTTCCCTATTCAAGTCATTAATTAGCTATATAGTTCATTAATCGCGCTCTCCGTTCATGGTAAGCTTCCCAGTTCCCAGATCAATCTTCAAGCTCAAGAATCTGGATGATGATGTAGCTAAGGCACACCCATTTCAAGGTTCTTTTCATAGACAACATACAAACACTCTAAAATAAGCTCAGCCAGTAATTCCCCTGGACTTGTTGCTAGAGTTCTCAACTTAAAGACATTGACCATTTTGGAAACAGAAGAGAACTCCTCCAATATTGATGATTGGCATTGCAATGCTCTCAATAATAAAAAAAATTGCAACATCTGGAAAATCTAAAGTTGTTTTTCAATCCAAATATTGAAAACTTTCAACCTCATTAATTGCATCAGACATTGGAATGTGTTTCCGCTAAAGCTCAACAAGTTGACATTAAGTGCTAGCGTATACCATGGGAAGATGATAGAATTCTTGGCATGTTACCAAATATTGAAGTGCTCAAACTGAAAATATATGCTTTCCAGGAACCAGAATGAGAACCAGATGAAGAGGGGTTCTCCAGACTCAAAGTCCTACTTATTGAAAGTAAGACTAGGTGCACTGGAGGGCCATAGATTCTCACTTCCCAAGTCTCGCATATTTAGTCCCTGTGATATTGGAGATATTCCAACAAAACAACTCATTGAATTGCATTCTTGCAGCCCTTTGACTGAGATCTCTGCTAGAATAAGAACCTGTGACCAGCAACAAAGCCTCGGAAACAATTGCTGAGAAGTTCACAGTGATCAAGCTAGACAAATTAGGGAATGTTAACAATTTATGTTATCGTAGATTTTAGTTCCGAGCTGGATGATCTTGCTGCTGATGCATGTAGCAACAATTAGTAATATGGCTTCAAGTACTAGTTCTGATTTTTCTCTGTCCCTGGAACTGTGTTATGGTTGTAACTTGTAAGGTAGCGATTTTAGAATAAAACTAGGAGAGTGAGAATTAACCTGTTGATGCATTATAAATCTGTTGGCTACGCTCGCAAAATACTAGCTTTTATGTATGGAAGTTACAGTTTAAATCTCATACCTAAAGGTATCAAGTGGCTTTGCCATTGACAAACTCTCTCTCATTTGATATTCAGTCTTATCCTTCAACATTTGAGTTGAAAAATAGATCACAAATTTTCTTTTTCAACTAAACAATTATTTATAGTAATTAATACTTTCTGAATACAACAGTGACTTTAAGTTCTTTCTACATTTCTGAATACAATAGTGACTTTAAGTTCTTTCTACATCCTTGTTTCCTAAGTAAGGACAGTAGGGATAAAATGTATATTTGGTATTGTTACAAGGACAAAATAATGAAGTAAGCCTCACTTGATCAAACTTCAACAGAATATCTTGAAGTTATTACCCGCGACTTTGAGAATAGAGACTAAGAATAAGTTTCGGCAAAAGAATGAGAAGATAAGGTGATTAACTCCAAAATATGAGAGAATGACTGAGATGCTGATCCACTTTAATATCATATGTACTTCACCAGCCATTCCAAGCTCTGTCATGTATGAATATGCCATTAGGAAAAAACTTCTTTGATAAGCTAAAAGCAGTAACTTCATTTACTAATATCACAACTTTGATTATACAAAACTCGGGGTCTGCCTGTTTTTCTGCAGAGAAACAAGATGAGCTAAATATTGCTAGGTAGGGATATAGTACCTTGATGCATTCAGGTAAATCTTCGTCTTTTATTTTGGCATGAGTCTGTCAATGAAGAGATGAAAAAGCATGTGAATTAGAGTTTTCA